AAATAATTAATGTATATTATATTATATTTTAATATTTAATAAATTTATTTACTTCCTGATTTTTGAAATATTTTAATAAGTTTGTTATTTAAAATGTGAACTTTAAAAATAGGAACTATGTATTGTTTCCATCTTTAAACATGATTTTTTGTAATTTCTCTTTCCACTTCGTGTACCCCTTCTGTAAACCCCGATGGCCTAGCCCAGTTTGACAGAACCCAGATCCAGTATATTACGACGACCCGACCCAGCCCACTTTAAGCGCGGGAAAATTTCTCTGGCAACGATTTCGTGCGAAACAGAAATTGATTGCTTAAATTATCAATATTCACCTCACAATTAACAGGCAATCAATCTGATAGTAAGAGAAAAATGGAAGAGAATCGTGAAATTGAATTTCCAGCATTTCCATATAAACCCTATCCAATTCAGATGGATTTCATGAAGTTCCTGTACCAATCACTTGATAAAGGAGGTATTTCAATGCTCGAAAGCCCCACCGGTAAGTCCAATGAGTGCATAAGAAATACCATATGTTTTAATTTTATATTCCTGAATGTCGTGTAATTGAATAGGTTAAGTTGTTACAGGAACAGGGAAAACCCTTAGTATAATCTGCAGTGCACTGCAGTGGCTAGTCGATAAGAAGCGTCAGGAAAGTATAAAAGGTTCGCTTGGTTTGAATCTGAAGGAAAATTTGGGAAATGAATCATGTTTGGATAATGATACTGATAATGAACCGGATTGGATGAGAAATTTTGTGCCAAATAAAGAATCCGACAAGCGCGAAAAGAAGAAAACTAAAGAAAAGAAAAAAATCGGGGTTCGGTCGAAGGATACTTGTAGTAGAAAGGAAAAAGAAGAAACTACTAGAGATTTAAGTAATCGTGGGGAAGAAAAAGAGTTAGAGGGGAATGTGGATAAAAGGGAAGGAAAAAATATGAAAGGGGAAGTTGGGATTGATAAGGAAGATGAGGAGTTTTTGCTTGAAGAGTATGAGAGTGAAGAGGAAAGTGGTGGAACACTGAAGAGGAAAAATGCTGGACCTGATGTTTGTTCGTCTAGTGATGAAGAAGAAGATGGGCTGGGGGACGAGGAAGATGGAGCAAGATTGAAGATTTACTTTTGTAGTCGGACGCATTCACAACTTTCACAGTTCATAAAAGAGTTGAGGAAGACTACATTTGCTAGTGAGTTGATGTTTGTCTGCTTGGGGTCTAGGAAGAATTTCTGCATCAATGATGGTATTAGAATGAAATCCACATGTTTTAGTGGTAGAATGTACATTCAAATAGTACACGTCTAACTTCAATGTGATTGCATGTATCTTTATCAGAGGTGCTGAAGCTAGGGACCTCCACTCGAATAAACGAAAGGTGCTTGGAGCTTCAAAAGAGTAAGAAAAATGAAGCTTCTAAAACGAAGGTATGAATAATTTTGCTCTTGAACCATTCTCCCGTGCATTGATGATTGGATTTGGTTTCATATTGTCAAAGCCTTTCTTTTTATTCATGAATTTTGTTTACCTCCCTCTTTCTACAGTAAAAACCTACTAACTTTCTCCACTTTCTTCATATTTTTTAGAACCTCTTATATTGCATAATTAACATGCTATCATGCTTGAACTAAAGCAAAGGCATTAAAATGCACTACGTATATCAATTGAAGTGAAATAGAGTTATTTGATTTCTATTGGATATTGTTTGCATTCCAAGAGGATTGAACAATTTGGTCAGCATATATGTGAAAATCTTCTCATGTTTGACCTTGATACTTCATCCTACCATAATCATATGCCAAATGGTTAGCTTCCCTTGCTATTGGTAGTTTGCCTGCAATTTGGTAACTGAATCTCATTTGTGTTGCTTTCTTCCCATTTGTCTATATTGTCAATATCTGCTGAGATAGTTTTTCAATCCAATTGAAAAATATTTATTCCTTTTTGAAGTAGAAAAACTTGACTTTTAACTCCTTAACTAAAACCAACACTTATTTTTTGGAACTTTTTAAAGTGCCAACCATTCAAATGCTGCAAAATATTGTTCTGTTTGTCTGAAGTCTGGTTCTATTTAGCAGAACTTGGGAGCTGGAAAAAGAGTTCACCGTACAAAGGCTTCCTGTGGATGTCCAATGCTCAGAAGTCGTAAGATAGAAAAAGAGTTTAAGAATGAAATTATTCAACTGGAACCGCTGGATATTGAAGATCTTGTTCGCATTGGACGCAACTTGGGAACTTGCCCATATTATGGTTCTAGAAGGATGGTGCCTGCGGCCGATCTTGTCATTCTTCCCTATCAATCTCTTCTTTCAAAATCATCACGTGAATCTCTTGGTTTAAGTTTGAAAAATAGCGTCATTATCATAGATGAAGCTCATAATCTAGCAGATACTCTGATCAGCATGTATGATGCAAAAATTACTGTGTCACAGGTAAATAGTAGTTTCACATTGTCTATTATAGCACCTTCTTCAAATTTAGTTGTGCTATGTGCTTTTAGATGATTATGTAAGAACACCCATATTTAAAAAGTTAGTCTATAGACCAGAGGGTGTGAGCATCTTCAATTCCCCTTTCCTGTTTGACGTTCTAAATTTCTTTCTTAAGGTCCAGTCCTGGTATAGTTTCTAACAGTCACTTGGTCCTCTTTTCAGCTGAATCTCTTGCAGTCTCACTTAGAGAGTTATTTTCAACGATTTCGCAATCTCTTAGGACCAGGCAACCGAAGATACATTCAGACTTTGATGGTCCTCACCCAGGCTTTCTTAAGAGTTCTACTTCCCAATGGGAAGCTTGCAAATCATGTTGATCCTTTATTTGATTCGCAGGAGATAGAAATTTCCTTTGATTCTTCAATGGCCATCAATGAATTTTTATTTTCCCTAAATATTGATAACATAAACCTGGTGAAACTTTTGCAATACGTGAAAGAAAGCAACTTAACTCACAAGGTGCATGCTCTTCCTCATCATTCATTAATGTATATTTTCAATTCTTTTGTGTTCACAAATTTAATATTCCATTGTTTTCTGCCTCTCAGGTCTGTGGTTACAGAGATAAGGTAGCAGTTGCCCAAAAGGGTTCAAGTGTCGAAGATGGTGAAGCAACTTGCAAGGAAGAAAGTGCAGTATCTTGCTTTCGGGCATTGGCTGATATACTATTCTCCTTAACCAATAATGATGGTGATGGAAGAATATTAATTTCTAGGCCAAGGCTAACATGTCACGGGCAAGAAGGGCATATAAAGTATGTCATGCTTACTGGAGAGAAGATGTTCTCTGAGGTTTGCCTTTTTTTTTTTTTGCACCTTAATATTCTAATGCAATTTAGTTTTAATTTGCAAAGTTACAGTCATTCATCATTTTCTGTAGATTGCTGATCAAGCACATGCTGTTGTCTTGGCTGGAGGAACTTTACAACCTATAGAGGAAACAAAGGAACGACTCTTCCCATCATTACTGCCAGATCGGTTTCACTTCTTTTCATGCAGTCATATAATTCCTCCAGAGAATATTTTGCCTATTGTTGTTAAACATGGGCCTTCTGGTCAGTCCTTCGATTTTAGCTACAAACTCAGAAGCCTGCCAAACATGGTGAGAAAGCTGTGTACTTTCTTTCCTCTTCTCGCCATTAAATTTATTGCCAGTCTCATATGTTTCAAAAGTTCCCTAATTGATAAGTATTCAGGAATTCGACATTCTTCCCCTTATATTGTATTCAATGCTGTCCTTTATTATCATTCTGATCCACCTTTAACACAAGGTTTCAATTGAACTTCTGTTTTTAGAAAAGTTCCAAAAGTTTCTTAGTTTTTGCTAATTGCTACTGCATGTTGGACTGAAATGACAGATTGAGGAGCTAGGTCTTCTGCTATGCAATCTAGTGACAGTAGTTCCAGAAGGAGTAGTTGTGTTTTTTTCGTCATTTGACTATGAAGGCAAGGTTTACGATTCTTGGAAAACATCGGGCATGCTTACAAGGATTATGAAGAAAAAGAGAGTTTTTAGAGAACCTAGGAAAAACACAGATGTAGAAGCTGTCTTGAGAGAATACAAGGAAACAATTGATGCAGTATCCACCAGTAATCCTACTTCCTGCAATGGTGCAATTCTTTTCGCTGTTGTGGGAGGGAAGATATCAGAAGGTATCAACTTCAGCGATGGGACAGGTCGATGCATAGTAATGGTTGGATTGCCCTATCCTAGCCCATCAGACATTGAATTGATAGAGAGGGTGAAGCATATTGAGGGTCTTGAGGAGAGTCAAAATCCCGAGTCTTGTGTCAATGGTGAACATCGCAATGGGGATGTTCAAACTGGATTTCACATCCTTAGAAGTTGCAAGGGCAGAGGAAAAGAGTACTATGAAAATCTTTGCATGAAAGCCGTAAATCAATCAATAGGTGCAGCTTCATTCTAGTTTTCTTTTTACATTGGTACATTATACATGCTTTCTTGCTAAGTGTATCTTCTTCTTTTTTATGTCAAATTCTTCTGTTCTAGGTAGAGCAATTCGGCATATAAATGATTATGCTGCAATTTTGTTGGTTGATGTGCGTTATGCTTCTGATCCTGCACAAAGAAGCTTCTCCCACTCGACTGGAAAGCTTCCACAGTGGATCAAAAGTCGTCTTGTTACTAAAACTGAGAATTATGGCCAAGTCCACAGGTTGCTGCATCAGTTCTTCAAATTCCACATATCAAAAGGAAGCAATCGGTAATAAACTTATGATAAACATTGGTCAGATGTCAAATTTGAGTTGAGATAGCAGTTTTGAGTGGAGATAGAGAGCTGGATTCAATAACAATTGTATTGATTAAGTTGTTAGCTAAAAGAAACATCCACAGATTATTGTTGCTTTACATTCTTTTTATAAGCATACAAATTTTATTCAAGTAAAGTGGTAAGAGTACAAAACTACAAACTCTAGATAACAAGATGTTCACTATCATGTTTGGCATTTCCATTAAACAGAACAGCTTAGGACGTTAAATTCTTATCAATTTTCATAAGCACTATTAGATGCCAAATGACGTAGTCTGTTTGGATAATCATGAAACTTTATGGAGTTTACAATAAATTAGTCCAAGTTGAAAATAAGCAAGTTATTTTGTTTTTAAAATAAGAGTTGCTTTAAAAAAATATTCTTTTTAACTTGTACGAATATGTTAGAAACGAAAGTTTTTCAAAATTTAATGTTTTTTTCTGAAGCTTGGCCAAGGTTGAAGCCGAAAACACTCTGCTCCACAATTCTCTTGCTTGGACCACGTACGGTACGAAAATGCAGTCATGTGATGAGTTTCATTGTGTCTTGTTAGGAAATAATGGTAATAAAAGATTATCGACAGTAACATTAATAAGCGAGTAGAATTAATTGGTAAAATAAAGTCGAACATGAATGTAGAATTTAGTGGGATAAAATGTGAAAATGATGAACAATGAATGTTATTAAATGAGTTCTGATTTACAAGGTGAAATAGCAATGATATATATACACCAAGAAACTAACGGTTGCCTATGTTTGATCCTACTGTACAAAGTACAAAGATGGTAAAGGTAGAGTGGGTTTTTCTTTGAATATAACTGCTCCTTTTTTCTCATAATAGGCCTATGACGAAAAGACCCTTCTGAGGTTACTGATTACTCCTTTTTCCTCATAATAGGCTTATGATGAAAAGACATTTCAGAGACTACTGATGAACTGATGCTATCTCTTGACCTGATGCCTTCAATGTCAATGATGAACTAAATGTATGAGGCAATTAGTTCATTCTTAACTACTCTAGTTTCTCAACAATGAAAAAGATCGGTAATTCATGTTTAACCTACTTTTCCATAATCGGTAATTCATGTTTTCCTTGCATTGGTACTTATGGACTTCCCATAATCATCTTTTGAGATATGATCGGCTTTTCTTGTAAAAGGAAAATGTCAAAAATATCTTGTATGAAACGGGACTCAATTAGAATTCAAGAAATACTAAATGTTAACAAGGATTTGATTGCAAGAACAAATGCAATTAAAGAATGGAACTTTCTCTTGTTTTAAAACCATATATGAACTCAACATTTGCTCTCATAAAATAATCAAATTTAACGAGATAACTATCACTCGCAAACGACATCTACGCTAACCCATGTTTCATAGTTATTTTCAATACAACAGTTGGACCAGGTTTACATTATATTCCAAATAACAATGGCATGAGCAATCACTCGCAAGGTTCCAACTTGTCTTCTGTTTGGAAAGTGACTGGTTTGGTCCCTTTTTCCAACCAATATGGGTTGCCAAGATAAGGGGCCCAAACACCTCCTTCATATAAATGCTATCAAAATTTATTAAGAAAATACTAATAATTATGTATCTTGGATTATCGTTTAACCACTGCAATCATTAGGTATGGTTTTTTATTTCGGTAAAGATAAATTATAGTCCCCCATTGTTTTCCAAAAAAAGATAAAAACCTTAGGTGTGTAGTATTTGATTATATTTCGTTCGTATAAAACTAGTATTCCTTTATGAAAATGGGGCATTAACTTGAGTTGGGCCATTTTCTTGATTGACATTAATTCCCTATTATCACGTTAAAAAATTAATTTTTGTGTGGGTAAGACACACAGTAGTGTGTGAAAATTGAAGCCAAATGTCCCTAATGGGTACCCTATTGTCCTTTGTCTCAAAGTTACAAAGAAACCATTATTCAGTTCTTTTTATCTTTGTTGTGTGGTGTCTCTGTAGAGGAAAGACAGATGAACAAGCATCACAGAGCAAAAGTAAAGCCACAAATGCAGATGCTGCTCAAAGAAACCTTTTACAACACCAAAAACTTCTTTAACGTTACATTCCAAAATCTCAAATCATGTCTCTTAGGAGGGTACCAAAAGCCGCCTAAAATTCCTCTTGTCAAACTCATCTTTTCGACTAAGAATCCCAAACTCCATGAGCTGAATAATTTATGTAAAGATTTCTCTGATAAAAATGAGATACCGAAGAAAATGGAGGGTCGACTCTCACCAGAAGAAGAAATGAAGGGAGACAGAAAATTTAATGGAAGCTCCATGAATATTGTGGATCAAAGCGGATTAAAGGAATCGAAAGAAAAGAAGACTGATAAATATTCCGAAGGCAAACAAGTGGAGTTCATTTCTAAGAATACAGATGCTTTAGCTAAAAAAATGAAAGAATTGGAGATGATGGATGTGAATGACATGGATCATGTGCTAGATATAGAAGAGGTGCTCAATTACTATTCTAAGCTCACCTGCCCAGCTTATCAAGACATAGTTGACAAGTTTTTCATGGACATGTATACGGAATATTATCTTCCACCGCCCACGGCCAGTGTTCACAGTTCAATGAGGAAACAGAGTTCAGTCAGTGTTCACAGTTCAATGAGGAAACAGGGCTCTATCAGTGTTCATGGTTCAATGAGGAAACAGGGCTCTATCAGTGTTCATGGTTCAATGAGGAAACTGGGTTCTGTCAGTGTTCACTGTTCAATGAGGAGTCTTGGCCCTTTAAAGATGTAGAAGTGAAGTAAATTTCATTCTTCGCGCATATGAACCATATATCTCCCTTCATTCCACTCTCTGTGTGTGTGTTTGTTGTTCATAAATGAAAATTCTCTCTTCATGTACTGCAATTTCTTTGGCCATTAGTATGTACCTTGAAATTCTCTTCTGCCAAGTCCATCAATATCCATTCTTCTTGTCATCTGTAGATTTCTCTGTTATGATCACTTATTTTGATATCGTGTGCCTACACTGACCGAATTCAATCCAAAATTTTCCCTCGTAACTCTTGCAAGAATTTGGTATCTTGAAAAAGTAACTTTTTACGAGCATTAGTAATAGAGATACTCATAACGATAGAAAAAAAAATCATCACAATTTATATGCCGTTAATCAAAAATCATTAACTAAGTCCTGTCCAAGCTAGTAAAGTTACAAAAGTGATAGCAAAGCCAACTAAATGTCAAAAAGGTGAATTTTATAGGTCAACAAGAACATAATCCAAATTCAGATAGACAGAACAAGATGTGCATTGCAGCCTGATTTTTCAGTTCACTTTTCGGCAATTAAGTCGAACCTGGCCCATTGGTGCCGTCAGGACCTGGAGATTGGACAGTTTGTTCATTGTAAGTCCAAAGTCCCTTTGGAACAGGGAAATATCTGATGCATATGCTCGGACCCAATTCTCTGTTTCTTCCCCTGCTGTCAGCTGCTGATCAACAAAGAGTAATCCCTTGCCTTGAAGAAGACTGGAGTAGTATACCGTGCCAAAACCTGTTCCCGGTCCCTCATAGTCCATCTTCATCGTGGGATCGTTAAAGGAGGCAGTTGATAAGCGCTCGACAGAGGGTGAAGGTGATAATGAGGGTGATATAGATAGTGTTGATGATGAGGTATGGCTTCTATTGCATTTTGACCTCAGAAAGTTGAGAAATTCAGTATCTATAGAGGGGTCAGGCCCTTGAGTTCCACTGAAGTTATAAAGACGGTTGAAAAAGAATTTGCAGTGAATCGTACCAGTGCTGTGGGCACCTGTGACCTCGAACATAAAAAGGAAGGCAAAAAGGAACTCAACTCTCATCAGATTTGATGTTGTTTGACAAAGAAGAATGCAAATAAAGTGAGAGTATATAGAAATTGTAAGTATTGAAAAGGAACGCAAAAACGAACTCAACTCTCATCAGAGTCGATGTTGTTTGACGAAAAAGAATGCAAATAAAGTGAGAGCATATAGAAATCTCAAGTACCGAAAAGGAAGTTCATAATCTGATTCATTTTCGTCTAACAGGAAAAGCATTATTTAAGTTACAGAAAAATGGTAATCCGATTTCTTTTCACTTAGAGATTTTTGCTCTACTGAGATCTTTAATCAAAATGGGAAAAGTTTTGTCACTTAGTTGTTACTGAACAACTAAGTTCAGGTATATCAGCAATCACTTTTCGTTGATTTTCAATCAAATAAAATGACGTTGCATAGGTCACAGAAATTTGATACACGCAAGCACATCAGATTAGCTGATTAGAGTTCATAAATTGTTTCATTTGCACAGTGAAAACAAGAAAAAAAATTAAAAGATAGGAAAAATGGTATACCTAATAGACTGACGGTCTCTCTTTGATCAAACCCTCTTGATGCAAATGCCTCAATTGTTTTAGAGAGATTGTCTTGGGGAGTAGGAAGCTCATATGTTGCTACTTCTTGAAAAGAAACTATACTGTCTCTCCTACCGGTATACAGAGGGTAGAACGGGCCACCAGCCTGAACTTTAAAAGGTTTTTAGTGCATAAACTAGGCCATGCCAAACATGTAATAAAAGAATGTACATTAGCACAAGAAGATTTACCAGAAGGACACTTTCTCTTGCCGCCAAAACGACAATATCAGCGCAAGAAACGATTCTGGGGCATGCTTTTTCAACATTAGACTTAATGATGTCGATCAGATCAAACCCTTTTAAAGATTCATTTGGTGGAGAATCTTTCTCACTCGGTATTCCATCAGCAGCATCCAGTAGAACAGAAGCATCACACCCCTATTCCAGTATTGATCATATAGCAAGTTGTAATCACAACAACCAGTACAAACACAAAACAAATTCATAGAAACATAATCAAATTTCTCAAGATTTTACGACCCTCGAGTCAAAATGAACAATACAGAATTTAGAATTCCCTTATGTAATATAATATTAGGGTAACAAAATAGATAGAATCAACATAACAGACTATTAAAACAATTTCATCAAATAATTCAAAGCAACACTCTATGAACACAATGTCTAAGAAAATTGAATCAAATTTAGAATAATTAAATCATTTCAACACTAAATTCATGGTGAAAAATAGAAAGCAACTGGAATCACTGATAAGTGAATAGCATAAAAAAATTCACCTCCACAAAGCAATCATGGAAAAGTAGCCTCAACAATGCAGGGGCAACATTTTGCCGCAGATTGAAGAGTTCATGAATAGTTGTTCGAACGATTTTCTCGGCTAATGGGCAAGATTCATTGTAGTAATCATATCTGAGCGATCCCTGGCGAGAATTATAAGAATGAGTTTCTGGGAGCTTCCTTTCCACCTTATTTCTTGATTGAGCCCTTAGAAACGAATGTGAAGTGTCAGTAATTCGTGATGAACCCTTGTTGGTTTCTGCATGTTGGTTCTTCAAAGAGAAGAGAACACATAGTAGAAATACAAGAAAGCTTAGTTTTCCTGTGAAATCCATAGCAAATTATTACAAGATTTGCATAAAGAACTCCTCTCTCTCTCTCTATATATATATATTTCTATTTCTCTCCCTTCTCTCTCCTCAAGATTGAGTTGCAGAGCTTAACGGGAGCTTCTGTGAAGTACAGAATCAAGGAAGGAGGCGCGGGAAAAAGAAAGATGAAATGACGAAAGTGCCCTTGTAACCAGAAGTTTGTTACAGAACTATATCCAAGAGTTGTTTGATCTGAATGACTGGAGGAAGTGGAAACTATTGCGTCTTTCTTGTGGAGAATTTTTTAATTCAATAATTTTGACTTGTGCTTAGGAAAATATAATAAGAATTTTTATAATGGTAGCGCTTCAAGGGCCCATTATTGTAGAATGAGAATGAAAAATATAATCATTATTAGAACCCACACAAGATATAGAAATTCAAAATTGATAGTTTGATGTGATGGATAACGATCATATATTTCATTTTTATAGATGAAAAATGAAAAACAAACGGAGGCTAAAAATTTTAGAAGTAGGTTTAAACGAATTATTTCCATGTTATTTTTTGTTTGAAAAAAAGAAGGTTAAATCATGGCTCACATTCAGAGAAATGTAATCTAATAAATTACGTATGCTCCTTGCCCTTGGCCTACAATACAATGGTCGTTCAAATGCTCATCTTTCACATTCTGAACATGTCGAGCCAGCATACATGTCCAGGAAACATTTCGATTTTGCCTCTATTTGATCAAAATTATTAGTAATAATTTCAGCCAAAAAGAGGCCAAGTTTATGCAAACTTATACTTGAAAGTTGAGAATAATCGCGTCTTTATGTTTTGGTTCGATTTGGTGCATCTCATGTCATGTTAAGCATGCCATTCGTGGGACACGAAAATTCCTGCAGAGATGAAAATTCTCCGAATATGAACCATGCAAGGTCCTAAAGGCCACGAGAAACTCAGCGGATGGAAACAATGTAAAATCAATAAAAAACAAGCAGTACGGAAACATTCAAATTGAAAACAAATGTATTTCTCACAACATTCGATGCTATTAAGAATTAAACAGCTGCAAAGATTTAAAATGGCATCAGCGATTTTCTGTAATTTGTTAAAAAGAAAAATAATGATAATGAAATTGGGATGGGGGCCAAATACATCACAAGACTTGCACAAGGACTCGTGTGACAGCTGGCACCCTATATTTCAACTTGGGGGCTGAATATAATCACTAGTAACTCACAAATTTGCATCAATCCAACAAACGATTTCCTGATTATGACATCAATATTCCCAAGCAATATGAATCACACTGAACTCTATGTGCATTTTCATAGGACACTTAATTACCAGAAGATACTAGAACGTTGTGCTCCTTCAGTCGTCTTTGGAAATGAGCCAAGCGATTCTGCAACTGTAAGATACCGGCAGCCTTTTGGGATAGGATTGTATTCAATCTGGTGACATAATCATCTAGCTGATTCCCTGGTTGATCTGCCTCAACCAATAGATTCATCTCCTGCAAAAGGAATATTTTGATTGAGGTGCGTAAACTTAAAAATACAACTTGTGTCTGAGGTCACCAATCAACGTAACAAAATCTATAACAGAAATTAACTTTTAAATCGATAAACAGAAAATGAGATGGCTACAATTCAGATAAACTCTTTGTTGTGGACGCTGGTAGTTTGCATCAGAATAATATGAAAGATGTGATCCATCTAAATCATTGCCGATATACTGAGAATTCATATAAAAAGCTTCAACACACTGAAGAGAATGCTCAAATAGTATCATAAAGCCCCCAATGCTAAGAACCTAAGATGGTGTCTGGATTCAAGAAGAACCATGCTAGAGCCGCTATAAGATTATCACTGACCTCTCGAACAATATCCATTGTCTCCTCCACTTGTCTCCTATGAGCATTGACAAGATCTTCCTCTTCCTACAAAATCAAAGAGACACAGAAGTCAGAACCTGCACTAGACTCATTTTGTTGTTAAAAATTAAAAAGCAATTTTTAATGGTCTTACCTTTAATAGAGAGTTCAAATCATCGTCGGAGTTCAAGTATTTCATATCGGATTTAAGAGGTTCCTTCCACTTTGACTGATTGTTGGCTCTCCTCATTTTATCATCCACGTTAGAAAAAGGGTATGATTCAACTTTTGAGTTTTGCTTCCACGCTGGCTTCTCTTGCTCGTAAAACTCTTCGTCATATTCTTCCCTGTCAGTTTTTTCAGGCCATGAATCACCAGTGTCATCTTCAAATGTTGATGCAGGCGGTAAAACTGATGACAGGGGTTGTGTTGATGATTCCTTCAGATTTGAGGTTGATGAGAAAACATCTTTTTTGTTGTTGTTCCCTTTTGAAAGGCTCTTCACCCTATAATTTTGAAAAAAATATGAGACCTTTAAGAGAAGGAACCATTTGCCCGGCAGAAAATTTATATCATCAAAAGATCAGACTTACCTGTCCGCATATCTTAATGTGTTTAATGTATGTTCACAGGACCCCGCATTGGGTGAAACACATGATATCATCACAGTACGAGAATTTCCAACAAATGAATCCCTTAAGACTTCAGTTAATTTACTGCCTCTGAATGGAATATGCCCCTGATCATTATCAAGGGCTCTAATGCACTCCTTCAAGGCAAGCAAACTTTTGTTAATCTCAGCCCCTTCCATTCTGCATATTCAGAAAACACTGACTGAGAACTCATTAAATGAAGGCAAATTGTTGATATCATATCAATAACATCAGAGAGACCAATGGACACTACAATTATAGCTTCTTCTCCCAAATAACATATAAATGTTGGGTAATAAAAATGTCTTGCTATATAAAGTACCAATGTTATGCATCCTCAAACACAACATAGTAATTACATGTCTGCTGTTGTCAGATTGAATTTTTTTCTTTTCCACAGAAAACAAAGGAAGTAGAAGATGATTAAGTAGTATATACCTAGTTTGTTTATCATTATCAGTAGTATCAGCACCGCGTTCACTTCCAGCAAGGTCTATGAAGGAGAGCTTGCCAACAACTCGAGCAGGTTTGGTTTCACTGCCATCAGTTGACCTCTTAATGGTTAGCTGAAGAATGGCATGTGAACGGGATGATTCCTCATTTGCACCAGTGGTGCCTGTACTTCTTGTTGCATTTCCTTTCTCAATAAGGTCCTTAATTGTCTCCACATCTGATACTTTGTACTCTTGCAAGCCTACAATACAAACTTGTTGTTTGCCGTCCTCTCTCATGCAAAGCTTTCTACATAAAGAAAATATGAAGTGTTGTGATAATCCATATGGTGACCATTAATAGACCAATGATTTAAGTAAGAATCAATTGGGACATCTTACTTCCGATCGCTGAGTAAATCATATAATTTTCCTCCATATATCTCAAAGAAGCTTACAAACAATTGAAACCCTTGATTCCTGTAAGTGTGATGCATGAGCCTCAAGATATCCCTAGAAGCCTTTAGGGGTAGTGGTTTCATTGTAAAGGTTTTGCCACTTCCTGAACAAATTTCAGAGAGGAAAAAAAAGGGGAAAAGTAGAAAGTTAGAAAAGCTTATAGATTAGTAAAAATAAATTAGTAAACAATGAGAGGAATGACATTACAAGAACATACAAGTATGATATTCATGGGAAGAAGAAAAGATAACACGATGAGAAGAGCAATTTGTATATTTGTCAAATTAAAATTTTAAATCCTAGGCATCCCAATCCTATCAAGATAAAATGGGGCTACATCTTACTGGGAAATAGGATGACGAAGAGAAAAAATAACATTTAAATAGTGAATATCTTTCAAATATGCCTGTAATCACTTCTCAGCCTATCAAAATCAACAATGTCGGCTTTTATTACTGCAAGGACCAAAATTTAGCCCCTTCTTATGTTCTCTTTCAAATGATATAAAACGGCAGATAAAGGCCAATCATGAATTTTGTTCATTTTATTGAGGCCCTGTTTGATGGACATTATTTGATAAAACGAGTTTTGTAATAGTACATTTTAGGAGAACGTGGTTAAAAAGTAGGAAAAATTTTGGATTCACGTGCAAAATATTTTATTTGAAGAATGTATGGTTGAAAATGAGTTTTGAAATACTGAGAATCAAACAAAGGCTGAATTATCAATGCCTCACATGATAAGAGAGGTCCACGATAGCAGCTACATCAATATCCAAGGATTTGGAAAATAATCAAATTTGGTTAATAATATCCCCTAGAGCCTGCCTTCAAAGAAAGGGTTATTGACTAATAACAGGCTGGCGCATTCTCCACACCACCAATAAAAAATACTACCATCACTTCTAGATTTTCTGCACTTAATGTCAATATCAAATACAAGTCCGTCTTTCAGGTCTAGGTCCGTTCTTCTCATCTATGACATCTTTGCCTTTGTTTGGGATTTGTCTTGCTTCTCTTGCAAGTCCATGGGTAGATGCAAAACCAAAAAGAACTCAATACAAATTTCACTTTTGCATGAATGAGGTAATCAAGCATGTTCTTCTCGACATTCTTAAGAGACTCGCCTTGAGGAACCTTGAAAGTAATTCCGTGAAAATTGAAGAAAAGTTAAATTCGGGAACTCGAGTATGCCCTGAAAGCATGCAACAGGTCCACCATAGCATGTGGAGACCAAAACCAAAACTTGGAGCACGTTTAAGCCCCATTTTTTGCCAAAAAAAAAATGTATTTGGTGATTTGATGGAGAATGTGTGGTTAAAAGATAAGAAAAGTTTCGGATTTACGTGTAATATTATTGTATTGAAGAATGTGTAGTTGAAAAAAAGAGAGAGAAATGTATTTTGAAAATAATTGGGACCAAACAAGGGCTTGAAGTATAGAAATAAAAGTCAAACAAACAATGGCAAGCTTTCAACACCAAATTCATCCGACGGTTACATGTAAGCAATCACCTGTTTGCCCATAGGCGAAGCAAGTAGCTTTGGTGCGTTGGAAAATTATTGGAACAATGGGCTCCACAGTTTCACGATAGACCTATAGATAGAACATGTGGGACACAATTAAGAAGGCCTCCAATACACTATGAGTATTACATGGTTCCCACTCAAGTTTATGCTCATTACCTCATCATTTGATACTTCCTCGTTCAGCACAGCATCAAAGACAAATTCATGCTTCTCCACATATTCTGTCAAGTCAACCTGCAGGAAATTAAGAATAAAACTAAAAGACATTGAGCCCAATTCTTTAAAAACTTATTTTTTCCCCCAAACTCATTTTAAACCCCACATTCTCCCAATAAAATAATTTTACACGTAAACCAAAAACTTTTAACTATTTTTTAACCATAAATTCTCTGAAAAATCACTATTACAAAATCTATTCTCCCAAAAAATGGGGCTCAAACAAATCCTAAATGTTTCACAAAAGAAATTCCAACTAAAATCAGTTCCAAACAACTATTAACTGTTCTGCTGTTCATTTAATTTTTGGCATGAGACAATTATTACGAGAGAATAAATTGTTAATATAATCCATTATCTACTGCTTTCGCTGGAGAACAGCTAAAGGCAAATGGTCTCAATATAATGCATGTCTCTAACTAATAACTTGAAGCAACTTTATTCTTTTCTTGTAAAAGAAATCAATCAAAAATTATGTGTGCGCAACATGCAGCATTAAGAGAGGTAACAATAGAATCAATCTTTGGATTTATTGAAATCTAAAATCATATATCCAGTGTTCTATATTATAAGGACCAGTACATGACATCTCATTCACAATATCTAAGGCATCAAAAAACTTCAGAAATTACAACCAGAGGACATCAAAAGAGACCTATCATACCAATCTTTATATATTAAAAATTAAATAAGCACAAACAGGTACTGTCACGGACCTTAAGTTTTGTCTCATGGACGACAATAGAATTAGATTGTGTTTCAATGATATCTTCCTCATTCTTCGACAATTCTTTTTTGTTTAATGGTCTTTTGCGTACCTGCAACCAATCAATTATTATTGACAGCAAGGTGAAATGCATCATTACAGTCTCTAATTCATTAATCCAGAGTATGAAAGACATTGTAGTGAAAGAATTTGCCTCTTGGTGCAAAGATTGCATTTCACGAAACTTATATAGGTTAATCCAATTAAAAGACTGATATTTAATACAGATATAGTGCCTATTTGTCTACCATTATTGTGATGAAAATGGTGTAATGAATAGTATTTTTTGGAGAATGTGTGGTTAAAATTGAAAGAAACTTTATCAGTTTATGTGTAGAATATTTTATTATTTGAATGTGTGGTAGAGATTGATTACTGTAGAAAATAATTTTTTGAAAAATGGTACAAACAGGGGCTTATTTCTAGTAACTAATGAACGTTAGCTAACAAGTTAGGTTAATCCAATTAAAAAACTGATATTTAATACAGATTTAGTGCCTGTTTGTCTACCATTATTGTGATGAAAATGGTGTAATGAATAGTATTTTTTGGAGAATGTGTGGTTAAAATTGAAAGAAACTTTATCAGTTTATGTGTAGAATATTTTATTATTTGAATGTGTGGTGGATATTGATTACTGTAGAAAACAATGTTTTGAAAAATGGTAGACAAACAGGGGCTTAGATTTAGAATCCGAAAAGTAAGAAATGTAGCTATAGGTAGATAAAAGGTTGATAACAGACTCGCTAGAACACTGAAAGACATACATACCACCACTTTGATCTTTGCAACATTGCTGGCCTTTACATTGTCCGCTGCAATGCTTTTCATAACATTGTTCTCCTGCAAACCACGAGCTTTGCTGTTTTGTTTATTGTTTCCAAGGTATGGATCGGAGTCATCAAAGCTTCTCCCCCGTGCAAAATGCATTGAGGTGCCATTATACAGACTAGGAGCTGGCATCTAGTTTCCACATACAACAAAGAGGAAAAAAAAATGAGCCAAAATTTAAAATAATAAAATGAGCGAGAATGGCAAAATGTTTCAAATCCAAATTAAAACCATGAGACTTATACTAACGTCTAATATACAATGTGTTATGAATTTTCTGAGCATAATCTCAAATTTAGAGACAACTAGCTTAGGGCTTATTATTAGTTACCATGAATCCAATTTTCTAAACTCATAACAATGAAGAATGCTATGAGTGAAGACACGTTGGGAAAAAGATCATCAGGCATCATCCATATACCAAATATTAATTAGGCTGGAGTAATTAAAACCTGAAGTCAACAAAAAGTAAAATGAAATTCACACACAATTGAATTTCACTCATTCGACGACAAATATCAACTGTAAGGCAATCATGACCCAATGGAAAACCAATTCAGCACACACCAGATACATAATCCACTAAGAAACCTTATAGTCAACCCGTTCTACACCATTTAATTCAGAGGACAACACAAAAATCAAACTTTTTCTAATTCATTCCCACAATTTATTGTCAAAATCAAATCAGATATCTACCTCAGTAAGTAGTTCGGTGTCGAGAGAATGTAAATCCAAAAGCCCTGGACTATACTCAATTGGCGAAACTTGCTCCTCCCCGTTCCTTCTCTGACTTCCCGGCCGTGAATTTACTGGTGGCGTCAATGGTTCAGCAAACAAATCGCTGCCTCCACTGTAAGTCCTCTGCGCCTGCACGCTCCTATACATTCTCGAGTCCTGACCCCCTCCATTATAGTATCCAAAATCCTAATTTTAAAAAATCAAAAAATATATATATAAATCAAAATTCGAAAAATTTTCCATCTCAGCATCAGATATTCAGATCTAGCATACATGCGGTGAACAAGACACGCAGAACAATAGAACTGCACCTGAAGTGGAGGAACTGCATTGTTTGATGACTGCAGGTGCTGAAGACCAGCTGATTGCAGCCATCGGCCATTTGATGATGATTCTAGAAAATTATCGGAGTACTGACGCTGGTGGTGCACAGTCGATGATGCACCAGATCTCTGCCTTCCAACAGCATTCATCTTCTCTCTCTAAAATTCACGATCACAGTCCGATCCTCACGTTTTCTCTCTAAAATGAACAGATTGAATGAAATGGATGAATGAGAGGTATAGAGAGAGAAAGAGAGGGTTTGCAGATGAAAATGTAAAGACTTGGTCTGAGAGAAGCTTCAAAGTTCAACGGCTGCGATTCACTTCTGTACAGTAAAAGTTTTAAAAAAAATTGAAGAATTTAAAGGAGAAACCGAGAAAGGTCAAAAATTACAAGAATTGCCAGGGATGATTAATTAAGCCTGTTAAAAATTTGAATCTTTATTTGAAAGGAGGTGAGAGCGGCATGAGTTATACGTGTGAGAAATTTTATTGGTTGAAAGGAGGTGGGACCCGCTTGTTTTTGAATTGAGGATGCTACCTGTCGAATCCTTTGCCGATTCACGTGGTGGGGCTGTGTCGTTTTTGTACCACTATCCTCCTTCACTTGAGGTTAAGGACTAATTTGACACGTGTCTTGATTCTACTTCAAATTTGAGCCTAATCCTTGAGAGCAATTTGTTTAAGGAGCATCAAATCAATATGGTGAGACAAAATGAAAATTAATGTTCTTGACTTTTTAGTAAGAATTTCAAAACAATGTACTTTCTTTATCTTTTGACATCTTCTTCCTCGCATATTCCCTTCTTAAGTAGAACAATTTAAGAAAGAAATTCCTTAAAGACAAGATAAGCACATATGATTTTGAAGCAAATATTAAGAATGAGTGCGACAAGGACAAGACACCGAGAAGAGGGTAACCTGATCTTTACCCGCATGCGTCTCCCTTCTTTTGCCCTATGTCTCCGCCCACTTCTTTTTGCTCAAGAGCTCAAGGGATGCTTAAGTTTCAATTTCGAGCTCTTATCTATTTTCTACTCGAGAGTCTCTTGAGCTTAGGATAGAGGGATAAGAAAATGCATGGAAAGATGAGACGGGAGATAAAGGGGAAAAACACACAAATAAGAGATACAAGTAATGGGAGATGGAAAAGATAAAGTGGTGAAATCGTTTTAAGAAATATTAAGTTGGATATAACTTGTAAACTATGCCTCTCAAACCAAATAATTAAAATGTGGACATTTTCCACTTAAAATCATTAAAATAAAAACTTTGAAAAATATATGACGTTGATCAATAATGTACATCTCACGTATATGCGAAGGTGATACATTGAAATACATATTTTTCCGTTAGAAAGAAAATCATTATAATAAAAATTTCGAAAAATATACGTCGTTGATCAATAATGTACATCTCACATATGTGCGAAGGTGATACGTTGAAATGCATATTTTTCCATTAGAAAGATGAAAGAAGAATCACAATCCAAATTGTGTAGTCTTTGAGACTGTTATGATTAACAGACAAAGAGATACTATCTTACATCATTAAGAACCTAAGGATATCACGTGAACTGTCAAACAATGATCTTATATATCCTTGAATACTATCTTATTGAACAAAGTTTTGGATAATATTTTGAGTAAACTGTGAACCTTTGGATGCATACCCTTCGTTCAGCTTAAGGAAATGTCAACGTACATCTGTTACTTCTTGGGAGGCTTATGCTGTACAGAAATTGCCTACATGATGCTACCTTTTTACATGTAGATCATGCCACAAGTTCAATAGTAGCTCTTGCAAAGACTCATCTCCTTGGTGGCTCAAGGCCTTCGAGAGGGAGCCTTCTCAGTTTTTCACCTAAACTGTCAAGAAAGGTCCAAATTCAACCTTAGGAATCAATGAGACTTGGTAGACTCTTCTTGTTCATGTTTAGGTAGTTTACATCTTTCTAGATGAATTTTGCCGAGCTTCTCTCCAAGATGGTATCAATAATGAAAGTTACTAATTTGACCCTAAAATCACCTAATGGGTGAATAAAGCGGAATTAAACTTACCATTAAAAGCAACAAGTCACTTTATAATTGTTCTAAATGTTTAGTCAATCAAATCAATTTTATCATATTTTGAATTGCCACAATAATAATCAAAGCAATAATAAAACACAAAATTTGTTAACGGAAAAAAAAAAAACCCTTAACTGGGTATGTCAATCAAATCAATTTTATCATATTTTGAATTGCCACAATAATAATCAAAGCAATAATAAAACACAAAATTTGTTAACGGAAAAAAAAAAACCCTTAACTGGGTAAACATTTCGCGATTAAGCCAGTAATTGTCACTGAACTTACAGTATGATCTAGCCTAGGAAACCTCTTAAACTCATTGATCTAATTCATGTAATCTCCAAAATCCGTTGGAACGTGCTTCACTCATACCTGCTCCCCCGATCTTCAAGAATTGTCTATCTCCTGTAGATCACCAAGAACACATTGTTCTTGTACTATTCATGTGTTTTTGGTCCAACCTCCCTCAAACTTCAGCAGTATTTGAAAGTTATTGAGAAAGTACCTTCCTTATTATATCTAAGAAGTGGATGCTTTGAATTGTATGAATTTGATATTTTTTTCAACTTGTGGTTGATTGATCTCAAGAATCAAAAATTTAATCTCAATATTTGGATGTGCTCTTAAATCTTGGAATGTTGTTATGAGAATATATTATAATGATAAACCACCTACAAAAAACGTAATGGACATTCGGTATTTATAATAGAGGGTATTTAAGTAGTATATCTTGGATAAAACTCTTGAAAATTGCGAACTAAGGTTTCACGTACAGCCACTCGAGCGCCATGCTAGAGATGGCTCGCTCGAGCGATGGGCGGACGACAATGATTCTGTTTTTATGCTCAAACATCAGTTAGACGACATTCTAGCATAAATCCGACGACTCTTTCTCCTTATTCCATACTAGAACTCAAAGACTCATAATTCATGTATACAATCCCCCAAAAAATTCATTGATTTTTACAGCTCTTTTATAATAATTTTATTCTTTTATAATAATTTTTTTGTCTAAAAAATTGCCAATACAACTAAAAACCTAAAAATCTCCTCCTTTGACATTATGTGATAAAAGTATACAATATAAGTCAAGAAAGTAAAAACAAACTATTCTACCCAAACTCAAACTGAATGTATGTCTAATGCATTCCTTGTTAAACCCGTTCACCGAAATCAACAATTCAAATACCAAGTGTAAAAGCAAGTAATACAGGAAATATAATAATTGAAACGGACTATCATAAATATGCTAGTTAGATTGAAAAGTAATAATAATGTTAATCAAAACATCAACTAAAACATTAATATCATAAAATATCAAAATCCAAAAAAACTAAGGTGGTGTTCTCTTTGTGTTTCAATTTTGTGTTTTGAGTTTTGAATTCGTTTTGTATTTTGTGTTTGATTGTCTCTTTGAAATTTCTAAAAATGCATTCTGTTTGCCATTCTGAAAAACTGTTTTTGAAAACATGAAAAAGGAAAACGCGTTTACTTTGAAATTTTGAGAATTTTTTTAATAATATTTTATTCAAGAAATCCGATTATTCAAAAAAATTTACTTGTTTAATGTTAATATAATATTAAATAACATATAAATTTTGAAATTAGTGAATCTTGAAATATTTTTTTCTAGATATGAAAAATACAACCTAAATTAAATTTGCCAAGACTTGTTATTGTCCTTATACGTAACTTGTGACAAGAATTAACTAGCATCAAGTCACAATCAAACGTAATC